GAGAGAGAGAGAGAGAGAGAGGCGAGCCAGCAAGGCATGTGAGATCCACTTTTGAGATTTAAAAAAAAAAAAAAAGAAAAAAAAAAAGATGTTTAGAAAAGAAAACAGAGTCGGATCCAGCATCCCCAACTGATGTAAAGTAAAGTTGTGAAAACTATGGAATCCCACTTAACTAAAAATCTTTTCATGGAAGTAAAGGGCAAAAGGTTTTCAAAAGCAGGAATTGGGTTATGTATATTAGCGTTGGAATACGTGGCAAGCATGGTGATTAAGGTATTGGAATTTGGATGGGCTGCTTCAAAATGTGATGGACTGCTTCATCTCCCCTGTTTTCAGTCGCTCCTTTGTGGGCTGTGTCCTATAAATCCAACGCCCCTTCTTCTCTGCCCTTCCCCCCCTTCTCCTTTACAATTTGCATTACTTCTCTTCACTTCTTTCGTTTTATAAATTCCTCAACGCTCAATTAATTACTCACCGTTGATCCCACATTTCCAAGATGGGCGAAGAAGCTGTTCAGATGGTGAGTATCATTTCTCATAAGAATTTTGTTTTCTTTTGTTTGATTGTACCTAATGCTATGAGCTCAGCAGCAGCAGCAGCAGGAAGAAGCAAAGGTAGAGGAGATGAAATTGGAGGAAGCCAAGCCTTGTCCTTGTCCTCCGATCGTATTGTTGGTGGATCTTCATTGCAGTGGGTGTGCAAAGAAAATAGAAAAGTGTATTATGAGAATCAGAGGTGCTCTTTTATGTAACCATTTGAATAAAGTAGGTAGTTTGATGTTCAGAAGCTGATCCCCAGTGAATGAACGGTTGATGCAGGAGTGGAAGGGGTGAGCATTGACATGGCGAAAAATGAAGTAACCATAAAAGGAATAGTAGACCCAGATGCGGTTTGCGACAAAATCACCACCAAGACCAAGAGGGTAGCCGAAGTGTTGTCCCCATCGCCGCCGCTGCCTGAGGGGGAACCCAGCCCCCACCTAATTGTTAACTCCCAGGTATCAAAATCAACTCTATTCGCTACCAAAATGTTATTCTCCAATTTCTTTGAAAATGAATTAACTCAAGTTGGGAGGTGAAGTTGAAGGTGGTGGAATTGAACGTCAACATGCACTGCGACGCCTGTGCTCACCAGCTCAAGAAGAAGATACTCAAAATGAGAGGTGGGCTTCCATTAAACGCTACCTCAGACCATTATAAATGAATCATTAATCATGATGATGGAAATCAATTAAAGTGGGGTTTGTTTAAGTTTCAGGAGTCCAAACAGCATCCACAGAATTGAGCACAGGCAAGGTAGTGGTAACAGGAACCATGGATGGGAATAAGCTCGTGGACTACGTGTACAGACGCACCAAAAAACAAGCCAGAATAGTTCCACAGCCCCAACCCACAGCCACGACACCAGAACAAGAGCCATTAAAACCCGAACAAAGCAAAGAAGAGCAGGCGGCACCAGCACCACCAGCACCACCAGAGGAGATTAAGACAGAGGACGCTGCTGCACCCCAAGCCCAAGGAACAGACACGAACAATAATGACAAGGAAGAGGTACAACCAAAAGCGGCGGAAGAGGGTGGGGGGCAGGTGGTGGAAGCGACAGCCGAGACAAAACCAAATGTGGAGGTGGAGGAAGCGAAGGCGGCGGAGGCTGGAGATGAGATGATGGGTGAGGATGATCATGAAAGCATGAAGAGGATGATGTACCAATATTATCAATATCAACCACTTTACGTTATGGAACGAATTCCACCGCCTCAGCTGTTCAGCGATGAGAATCCCAATGCGTGTTGCGTTCTATAAATTTAAACCCTTTTCAAATCCATTACTTTACTGCTCTGCTTCCCACCAATTAGTATAGCCCCACAGAGAAGAAACCTTCAAATTCCCACTCATCCGATCAAATTATTGCATGCATCGGTTCCTATACTTCATCCATATTCCCATCCTTCTGTATTATAATCAATTCCATCTTTATATCAATAATTCTCTCCTTCGTATTTAATTGCTTCTCCTTTTACATTACATAATTTAACAGGCGTAGCATGTGACGCCCCATTATGCTGCCTCGAAATTATGATTTTTTCTTTTTTCTGGGAAATTGAACTTCGAATATTCCATTCAAAATACAAATCCTAAAGTTAGGTACAAAACCAATATTAGACTTAGCTAAGAAGGATCTGACTCGGTCCCTTTTTGTTGCCGCCAACGTTTCAGCACTAACTTTATACTAATATAAACTCAAATATGTTATATAACAGTATAGTACAAAATTGATGAAATTAATTTTATTTACATGCAATATAACAATTGAAGAATTTGATTAAAAGGGTGGAGATTGTGGGCGTAAAAGAGGAACACCCAGAACTGAGGCAGAGGGCGGGAAAGTAAATGGCGCCACATGTGTTCATCGAATCTAATCCACCTTCTCCTCTCTTCTGACCGCTTCCTCAACAGTTTTATGTTTGCGTTCTTTTATCGAAAAAGAAAACTGAAAAAGAGATTGGGAGATTATTCCATTGATTGGGGAGATGGCCTTGGTGTTCACGTGGATGGGTCCCTTTTCTGAAGCACCAGTCATTTCAGTCCACGATGGTGATGGTGTTTTTATGAATACTATATATGTAATGCAAATACATCAATCGTATGATCTTCCCAGATTGTTTGAAGAGAGATATGTAAGGCATGCAGTGCAGACGAAGGGGTTTTGCTTCCGACTCACTGCTACATGGACTGGCGCTGGTTCATATCCGTAAGCAAAAGCCTGGCAATGGTCTTTCCCACCCAATACGGGCTATACATAAAAAGGAAGCATCTCAAAGGTACGGTCCTATCCCTCTGATATCATTCCCTTCCCATTAAATTTTCAGTTTGGCAGTATTATTTAATTACTTGGGATTCTTTTGTGAATGATATAATGTGATGGGTTTGGGAGGGGGGTGTCCCCTAAGCGGTGGGCAGGGCAGGGCAGGAAGGAAGGAGTAATACTTTGGATTGATATGAGTGGTTGTGGCAGGGATGTATTCAGTTAATGTGGATTACAATCCAGAACCACAAGCAGAAGCAAGGGAAGGACTTGGATCACAATC